TAGTACTACTACTACTACTACTACTACTACTACTACGACGACGACGACGACTACGACGACTACGATTACTACTACTACTACTACTACTACTACTACTACTACTACTACTACTACTACTACTACTACTACTACTACTACTACTACTACGACTACTACTACGACTTCTTCTTCTACTGCTACTACTACTGCTACTGCTACGACTCCTCTCATGATGTTCACCCCTTAGTGCTTGTCCTCGAGTTTTTCACCACCCAGAACCACTCGAAGCCGCCTCAGCAAGATGGAGAAAATCTTGCCAATGTGGGAAACGACGCCGCAAACATGAAACTTAGAGGAGGGCCAGATGAGACAGAGGTGGATCTCCAGCCCAGCCCAAATCCGCTGAAAATCGGTCCCCGGACCCCTCGTCTCCCATCCTGACCCGTTTTTCGGGGCAGATCCAGAGAAGCCTCCAGGAGGCAGAAAAAGAACGAAACACGCCAGGGGTGCCGCCGTTGTCTCGACTGGTCCTCCTCCGAAAAAAAAACCCTGCCTGCCCTCCAGCGGACTCGGGCCAGCGAACATCGACTTCGGAACCCCGCCTGTCCTCGCTGAGCGCGTCTGGCAGATGCTCGGCGGCCAGGGCGCTCTTGCGCGACGGGGGGATGTACGCGAGCCCTAGGCCAGTGGGCAGCGGAGCCGCCTGCGCGCAGGCGGCGGCGGCTAGACGGGAGGGGCGGCAGGGGGGGAGGGGGGCAAACCGGGCGAGCTTGGACGACGTCTACCGAGTACCAAACCAGCTCGATACATGCCGCCGCGGTTGCCAGCACGCGCGGAAGCGTGCAACGAACTGGCCCGGCACACGGTCCGCGGCGTCCCGAGGAGAGGGAGGGCGAGAGGCCGGCCTGCTGCTGCGGCGCGGGCAGCTGTGGGGCCTGCGGCGGCTGTCGCGGCCGCTCCCGCGGCACCTCGGGGCCCCGGGTCGGGCCGTGCAGCTGCACCCGCCGCGAGGGCTGCTGCTGCGGCGGGCCGGCAACTCGATCTGCCTCGCGGGGGGGCATGGCATCGCGGCGATGCTCGCGCGCGCGCCCGCGGCCGGGAAGCCCTCCGACGCACGGACAAACAAAACAACTGGGCGTATGACCGTCAGCTTGGCGGCTTACCCTTGGGATTCGTTCTGGAAGCTCGGGGGGCGCCAGAGCGATCTCTGGCAGCTGCGCCCCGGAGGTCCCCCTCCCCATCCGCAAACTTCTGCGTAATATCATACAGAACGGCCTTCCGCTAGAACTCGTCACCCTTCTGATTACAACATCACGCCCTGCGGAAGAATACTCCTGTCTTCTGCCCATCGCACTTACCCTTCTGTAAAGACCACCCAGAGTTGTTGCTGATAGGTCCCGCCAATTGCCAGAGCGCCTGTGCACTGGGGTGGGAGTTCCCTGCAGTGTTGGGATTGTCCCACTTGACCCCTGGGGGCCCTTTCCCGAAGTCCTGTGGTCCCGAGGTTCCCTCTTCCCTTCTCGTCCCCTCCCCCGCCCCTTCGTGACTGAGCCTAGGGGTACAGGCTCGTGCGTACGGAAGCCCATTTGGGCTATGTGATACTGTTCCGCACACTGGCGGCAAAAGGCCCTCGCTTGCCCTCACCTCCACTCTCGCGCCGTGCTCCCATCATGCTGGGACAACGGTAGGCGGAGGAGGGGTTGGAGGGCAGCCCGAGGACCATCCGCCGATGACAGCGGAACCGAGTGTACCCAATCCAGGGGAGCTACTCTGAGAGCTCCTCAGAGGGGCGCGGGAAGTGCGGGAAGCAACATCGACCAGCCAACCAGCAGCAGACGACAATGAATGGTGGACAGGAGACTGGACGGGTTGGGACTGGTCAACCCGGCGGGCACGAAGACCTTGGGGATAATCGGGCAATCACCGTTCGGAGACGAATCGGGACTTCGGTGCTCCGCCGGTCTGGCTGGGTTTTGAGCACCTCGACCTGTTTAGATCAAATCTGAGAGCCTGGTCGTCGAGAACAGGTTTCAAGAAAGAAGTGCAGACTGGAAACTTGCTCGAGACTCTCCCAATAGACATCCAGACCAAGTTCCGCCTCGTGAGGGCTACACTTGACTCAGAGGAAGGGATCTCCAAGTTGCTCGACCACCTCTCCATCCTTCACGGGGAGAGGCCAGGCGACAAGGAGCGGCAGGGACACAATCTCGCGCTCTTCGACTTTTCCATGCGGCGTCACGGGTCCATCACCGACTTCGTTCAGCGACGGGACGCTGAGGTGACGGAAGCCGAATCTTGAGGACTGACCTTGCCGGATGCAATCAAGTCTAGATATCTGGAGGAGGGGGCACACCTGAGTGCCCAGACCAAGATAAGCCTTCGTACCCTGTCCAGTGGTTTGCGTGACTTCGCCTCGATCAGACAGGCCCTTCTCCTCCTCGACGTTCGAGAGAAAGGTATTATTCCAAACTAGTCGGGCGCTCTCGGACATCAGAAGACGTACCAGGCCGACGTTTCCAGCATCGAGGACGCCCCGCCTCCTCCAGCTTCGCGTGAAGAAGCTTATACCTACTACGACGAGTCTTTCTTGAGGCCTTGGACTGCCAGGACCTCGACGAAGACGACCTCATGCTAGTGCTGGCCGCGTCATCGAGGAGAAGTGGGGGAAGGAGAAGCGGCGTACTTGGGCCGAGGCAAGGAAGATGAAAACTACGAGACGGGTGGATCGCGAGTTGTTCGATCGGAAGAGGGCGATAAAATCCGGCTTCACTCGGATCACCTTAGCCGACCTGAAGAAAAGAAGAAGAAGACGAAGACGAAGAAGAAGAAGACCAGATGTGCCAATTGCGGAGACCAAGGACTCTGGGCCGAGAACTGTCGCAAGCCGTACCGCTCCAAGCAGGACCGTCTCGCCGAGGAGAAGGGGACGAAGGCGGCGACCAGGGGCTCGAGCTCGCTCTGGTCCGGCTACGCGTTCACCAGCGACGACGACCCGTCTGAAACCTAGCGAAGGTCGCAGGGATCCTCGAGCGCAGCGACTGCAGAGTCACGGCCGGCTGGGCGAACTGCTCCGTCGAACAGTGGGTGGGGCTGACCAGGCACGGCCATCCCGAGCTGAAGGCCATCCCTCTGAAGAACATGGAGGATCACGCTTGGGTGGACACTGCGGCTGGCCAGGCCTCGATTGGGCGGCCCGACGTGAAGATTCTGAAGAAGGCCTTCCAGAAGAGAGGCTACCACGCGCACGTCGACTGGACCCCGGTCGAGGGCAAGAAGGCGCCGGGCATCGGAGGTACGTCGACTCCCATCGGACGGTGCTGGGTACCCTGGTCGACAGCAGGCTACGGCCTCATCGAGCTCCTGGATCATCAGTGCCCTCCTCTCATACCCGCGCGCTTCTCGGGGATGATCGGCACTACGTCACTACGATCGACCTTGAGCGCAACGAGATGACGGTGAACGACTGCGATATGAAGGTCGCGAGGTCTCTCTTTTTACGTCATCCCTCTGGCCATCGTTCGGTGCAGCTGATCCACAGCGCCCCGGAGCGCTTCCGCGTGTGATGACGCGACGGCCACCTTGCCGAAGGAGTGCTTCGGCCCCGTCGGCGCAGAGGGTGACGACGAGGCTGCCTCCGAGGTTCCCGAGGGCCCCCGTGGCCCGAGGGGAGTGCGTCTCTGGGGGGTCCGGGGACAGCGTCGGGGGCCACCTGCGAACCCTACCCCTACCCCCCACCGATTTCTGGGCTGGGGAGGGTGGGGTTCCCTTCGCTCGGGAGCTCCCGAACGAAGCGAACCCCACCCTCCCCCGCGGCCTGGAGACTCGGCGTGTGTCCGCCCCACCTCAGCAGCAGGAAGGAGGGGGAAAGAAGGGGGAGATGAAGAGGAGGAGGAGGAGGAGGAGGAGGAGGAGAAGGAGGGGGAGGAGGAGGAGGAGGAGGAGGAGGAGGAGGAGGAGGAAGAGGAGGAGGAGAGGGTGGTGGTGGTGGCCCCCGTGGCCCGCGGGGAGGATGTCTCTGGGGGCTTCTGGGGACGGCGGGTCCGCGGCCGCTTCCGCTCGAGCAGCCGCGCCCGACCTCCGAGCGGCGCGCCCGCCTCTTGTCCCGGACCAGACGCCTCACGAGGGCGACCACGAGGCACGTCGAGGAGGGCACCCCAGCGAGGCCTCCTCGAAGGGCGCGCACCCTGAGCTCTATGTGTCAACGACTCCGACAGCGAGGTGGAGCTCGAGAGACAGCTCGAGGGCAGCGACCCGTCTTGGGAGGACGTGCCGGACATCGAGGAGACGCTCGAGACGGAGATGACGACGCAGACCCAGGCCGAGCAGTACCAGAACGGCCAGCTGAAGCTCACCCGCGGCACGTACCGCTGGCGCCATTTCTTCCTCGAGATCGTCAGGCTGGAGTGTGTCACCCTCGCGATGCGGCACCTCGTGACGTGCCTTCCGACCGAGTACTCGGACTCCTTCCAGGCGGACGACTGTCCGCACGCCCCGTGGGCGGCACGAGAAGGCTCGAACGACACCGCAGAGTACGCCCGCTGCCGCCGCTGCTCGAGAAGGATCTTTCGCTGCGACAAGACAGCCGAGAAGATCTTCGAGGCGCGGAAGGGGAAGCTCGAGGAGGAGGCCAGGAAGCAGAACCGGCAGAACCAGAGGGAGTCGGCGGCCAAGATGCTCGAGGACTGTAGGGCGACGAAATCTATACATATCCACTGCTCCCTGGCCAGGCCCATCCTCAACCCCGCAGCGGTGTATACGCCACGCCCTCCTGGCTTGGCCAGGAGGGCGCATACACAGCTCCTGGGTTCAAGATGGGCATGGTCAGGGAGCAGTGGATATGTATAGATTTCGTCGCCCGAGACTGCGTGGCGAGCGGGAAGGCTCCCCCAACAGCCCCAGACCCGTGGACGGTGGTGGCACCGCAGCCTGCCCGTCGAGTGCTGGCTGGGAAGGGGCCTTCGGCGGTGATCTCGGCGGCCGCCATCCCGCCGTGCCCGCACAACCTGCACGTTCCCGTGGAGGAGGGGCACGTGCCGAACAAGGAGCCCCCTCCACCTCTGAGCTCTGTAAAGGCGTCGCACAGGACCACGCCCAAGAGCACCGTCGGACTCCCGCCCCATGACCGTGACCGAGAGATGCAGGCGGTGCTCTCCGACATGAAGATATGCACGCAGGCGCAGCAGACGTCGAACGAGAGAAGGCGGCCCTCAGCCCAGGCCATGCTCCACCGGGCTCGCGAGAGCCAGCCGGCCGCCTCCGACGCTGGCTCGGACCGACACGGCGACGCTCGCGGCGATGGTGGCCCAGCAACCTGCAGGCGACGACGCGTGGCAGCGGCTCGCAGGACGGACGCTGGGAGGTTCGAGCAGCCGAGCCGGCACCTCGCCCGAACCGACGCTCCTGGCGACCCTGGGGAGGCCAGGTCCTCTGACCTCCCGGGTCCTCTGGCCTCTTCTCCTGGGACGTGTGGGTTGACCACAACCGGTCCAGGCGATCCGGGGGGTTCGGCCCAGGCAACGTGCGGGCGATTTGGGATCCCCAGGACCGTCGAATCCTTTCCTCCTCCGACCTGGCTTCCAGGCTCTGCTGGAAGAAAACCGCCCGGGTAGACGCCCCTCTGACTGGGGAAGAGATCTCTGCCTACCGCACGGTGGTGGCACAAGCTCAGTGGCTGGCACGCGAGAGCATACCGAGGTAGCCGGCAATGCGTCTTTGCTTGCGGCCGTTATCCCGGACCCTTGTGTCTCAGATGCTCTCGTTTTGATCAGGGTCTGCAAGTATCTGAAAGCCTCGTGCGCTCAGAAGATCACATTGTGGGCCCTCGACCCCGTTTCAGCGTGCTTCGTGACGGCTAGCGACTCTGGGGGGCCCCAGAACGGCCAGACGAGGGGGAGCTCAATGAGGTTGGCTGGTCATGGCAGCCGACGGTAGCATTCGTGAAAATCGTTGGGCCCGTGTGAGTGTTCTTTCTTGGAGAGAGATCCCAGAGAATTAAGCGAGCGGTCGCTAGTACTGTGGCGGCGGAGTCACTCGCGTTGTCCGCCGCGACCGCCGAAGCGCAATGGCTTCAGATTCTCTGGCGTGACGCTGTTTTTGGCGACATGGCTCGCCCGGACTTGTTCAACAGTGTTGCTCCGTTTACGGTCGTGCTGCCTCGTGAGTGTGAACTGTGCAGGGCAGCCCCAGGCCTCCCGATTGTGGATGCCAAGTCAGTGTTCGACACACTCACTCTCTCTCGTAACAGTGCGGGTGCGAAGGCCGACCGACGGAACGCCATAGGATTGAGCGGTTGCGAGAGATTCCCTCGCGGCCGTCGGGTCCCAGGTCAGCTGGATGCCCCACGGCCGCATGCTGGCCGATCCTCTCACCAAGGTTGACCCCTCCAAAGGGAATTTCGCTTTGCATGACCAGTTGTGTCGCGGGACGTTGACGTTGGTTGATGAGGGAGGACACCTCGATGAGAGGGCTCCCAATATTAGCCTCAAGAGTAGGTCTCGAGGAGCCAGCAGAAAGATCATTGAGGATGCTGCCAAGGCCGAGGAGGAAGGCACGAGGGACCGGATCCCCCCTGAGGTTTGTGAGGAAGGAGTGGAGGACAGCCGGCAGGAAGCCGAAGAGGACTGTGAAGGTGAAGGAGGAGGAGAGACTAGCGGCGGAGTAGCCCTTATACGGAGTCAGGGCGCCAGGAGCGGCACCGCGGTCCCGCGACAGGTGGGCGCCCGCTGCCCCACTTGACCCCCCAGGGCCCTTTTCCCGAAGGTCCTGCGGTCCCGAGGTTCCCTCTTCCCTTATCGTCCCCTCCCCCATCCCCCCCTTCGTGACTGAGCCCAGGGGTACAGGCTCGTGCGTACCGAAGCCCATGTGGGCTCTGTGATGCTGTTCCGCACACTGGCGGCAAAAGGCCCTCGCTCGCCCCCACCTCCACTCTCGTGCCGTGTTCCCATCGTGCTGGGACAGGATGGCCGCCAGCCTCAGCGGCTGATGGAATCTGAAACCTGGCTTTCAAGTGCAAGATCACGTCAAACGCTATGCTCAGAGCGCCTGCTGTTGATACAAGCCACCTGGCAGCATCTTACAGGCTAGAACCATTGGTAAGACGAGGAGGGCCAAAAGTTAGATTAGGACGAGAAAAACCAAGAGGACGAAAGAGGCAGAGGAGGCCAGCGCCAGCGAGAAGGCAGAACGGGGGCCAGGACGACAGGTCCGACGAGGGAAAAGGAGGAGGACGAATACGTAGTGGTGGTGACGGGGAGGCGGGGGCTCGGACGAGCTGCCTCTGCCTCCGGCGCCGCCGCGGCGGCGCACTGCAGCCGCGTGACGTACCTCGCGCGGCGCGCGAAGTGGAACCCCGCAGGCAGCTGGCCCACGCTGCGCCCCGGAGGTCATCGCGGCGCGGGCTCGATCCACCCGAGTGCCGCTTGGCCCACGCCTCGCCCGCGCCCGGGCCCCGCCTCGCCCGCGCGTCGCCCCACCCTGTTCGATCCGACTCGGCGCGGTGCGGTTCGGCTCGGCTGAAGTGACGCGGGTCGCCCGACGCGCTGATCGCCCAGCGGGTGGGCGGGGGGCTCCACGGCGTGCGGGCGGGCGGGCTCTGGCGACGAGCAGGCAGGCGGGCTCCCGCCTGCTGCCAGGGTCACGGAGCGAGCGCTTGGGCACGAGGCCAGGCTTTGCCGTCGCCCTTCCGAGCGGGTCGCAGACCGGGTCGGCTCAGCAATGGTACCACCTGCCGGTAGCACAGACCCTATACATTACACATGGTTCACATGACAATGTTTCACGCAGCCTCTTGCTGTTGCACAGCCCAAAGTTACAAAGCAACTCACCTGTGCCTGTTATGCCAATACATCGCCCTCCTCGCCGTGCAACCGTGCAACTCCTGAGGCCGCATGCGTCGAGCTGGCTCTTCACAGCAATCAGAACATCCTAAGCAGGCCCGACTCCAAGCCAGAACCACTCCCTGCAACACAAGTAGCTATGATCTAGACACATGTGAAGACGGTGGTGGGAGCTGTTACTGAAAGCTGTTACTGCTACGTCATGTTTCCATAAAAGCGCTGCTGGACCTTCGTCATGAGCGAGACATGTCCTTCCCAATCTGTTCCATCAATTTTGCTCGCCTGCGAACCCACAGCGCAGTCCCGACGATCCCGCCTATGCCCTGTAGACTCCCTGACTATCGAACACATTTCCAGTCCCCGGATCAGCTCAAGCACACTTGTCTGAAGCACAGGCTGCGGTATGCTCGGGAGTCCAGATGTGCCCTCTGCACCGTGCGGAGGACAGACGGAGTGACACGCGCGCGACGAAAGCAGCTCGCGAACGCTGGTGCCGGACACTGCCCGCCTGTCGTGCCGCCCTGCAGGCCCCCGCCTCAGGCCCCGGCGCTCCCGCCCTGGGCTGGCACCGAGCCAAGAGCAGGAGCTCCGCCCACGCCCGCCTCCTCGGCCGCGGGCGCCCACGACCTGCTCTGAGACGCCCGGCAGCCCTTCTCCCCCTGCCCAGACAGCCAGTGGCGAAACACACAGGTGTTCACCGAGCCGCTCCTTCCATACACGTCGAAGGCAGCATCCTCCCCATCGTCGCCCTGCTCCGCACCCCGCTTCCACAGAACAGCAGCTGTGCGGTCTCTCCAGCCCACTGGGGCACTTCGGCATGATGTCGCGCATGATGCTGAGACCACGGTTTTGTCGAGCAAGTGGGCGCTAGCGAGACAACGGGGCGCAAGGTTCTGACCAGAGCTTGACCTCGCCCTCGTCCTCGTCCCCCTCCTCCTGTGACACTGTCTCCGAACTGCTGAACGTCATTTCCCCCCCTTGCGTCATCCCTGCTCCCTCCCCGCTCCCGCCTCGTGCTTATGCGAGGTGTGTTACGCAAGTGGTTTGACAACCGCTGCGGTGGGTGGGCTCACCTGCCCGGACGAGACGATCAGAACATGACGGGGACTGTGTGTCCACGCCCCTCCCACGCCACCCCCCTCCCAGACCCTCTTCCCTCCCACGTCCGCCCCCCCTCCCCCTCCTCCCCACCTTCCCTCCCGCACTCACACACACACACCCTTCTTTCCTTCTCTCTCTCTCTCTCTCTCTCTCTTGCTTCTCGGTCGCTTCGCCCTCGGTCTCTCTCTCTCTCTCTCTCTCGCTCTCTGCAGCACGCGGCGGACGAGACCAAAAAGAGCCGCCTGGGCACGACGTACTCCAGCAGGCCGGCGGGGAAGCAGGCGCGCGCCGCGAACGTGAGCCGCGTCCTCGGCCGGTCGCCGCCCCGAGGGAAGGGGGCCCTGGGGCACAAACAAATGCACACAAATAAAAAGATTCCCCATAGTAACCCATCTTTTTCTGAGTTTTTGTCTTCCCCCCCACTTCCCATCTTTTCCCATATCTTCTGGGGAATGGAAGATTCATTGTGTCTGTGTGTGTTTTTTCCCCTCCTGGCCAAGGGCAGGGCCGGACGCGCCAGGCCCCGCCTGACGAGAGCGCTCCCTCCGCGCCAGGCCCGGGCCCCGCCAGGGAAGCACAAATGCTCTCCAGATCCCCTCCCGGGCAGAAAGGCCCCCCGTGGCCAGGCCGGGCGGGATCTCCCTCCGCGACGGGCTCCAGCCTGCAGCGACCGATGCGAGGCGACCGAGGGGGGGGGATCCTACCAGCGTCGCCTGGGCATCTCCCGGCCCGCACTCGACTTCCCAGATCAGAGGAGATCAGGGGGGCGCGGAGCAAGGAGGGGGAGGCGGAGAGGAGGAGAAGGAGGAGAAGGAGGATGAGGACAAGAAAGAAGAGGAGAAAGAGGAGGGACCAGTGCCAATCCAAGACTCACCAACGATGTTTGCAATGAACCCTTCCTCCGAGATCCCTCTCCATAGGCCCCTGCAAGGGTTCGTTTCCACTGAGAGGAATGCCCCGTTGGAAGACAACCGTGCCAACACGTCATTTCTGGGACTTCAACGCCGCAAATCACCGTTACTGTTGCGTCTTGACGATCCTGAATCGTGCCAGAGCACCATTCCTGGGACTTCAATACCGCGAATTTGCGTAGCTGCTGCGCCTTGACAGTCCGGCATCGCACCAAAACGTAATTTCTGGGACGTCCACCATGAGAATCCTAGAACACGTTGTACACTCTTAAGAAGAAGAAAACTGCGCGGCGCTAAAACGAGAACCACCTTTTGAAAACGAGCCTCCCTCCATCCATGAAGCTCTTGCATGCTTTCTCGCAGAAAACAATAAGACGAATGCGCGCGGCGCTTCGGCGAGAGCCACATTTAGAAAAATGCCCGCCCTCCACCCTCGAAGCTCTTGCAACTGCGCAGTTTAAGGGTCAGAAATGGTGAAGACGTCTCAGGCGAAACGCCCGGCCCGCCCTACCCACACGCCTCGGGGTGCGGCAGGGAGGAGCTACGCATAAGGAAAAGTGATGGAGGAGAAGGAGGAAAGGAGGGGGAGGAGGGCGGGGGCGGGGAGGCCCCACGAGGGAGCGTGGCGCGGAGGCTGTGGGCGAGGCCCTGCGGCGGACACAGCAAGCCCACGAGGAGGAAGCGCGACTATCTCCAGCGCCGACACGGCACGAGCGAGCTCCGCCCATGCCGCGTTCCCTGAGCGGCAGGAGACCGGATCGGGGAATTCAGCACATGTGCTATCGGATCGGTGGGAGTCCTTCGCTGTGAGCCGACTCGTCCCAGCCCCAGGCGTGCGAGCCACGTGCGGTCAAGGGCCGAGGGGGGGCGCCGCGGAGGGGAAAGAGATGGGAGGGGAGGGGAGGAGAGGAGATGGGAGGTGGGGGGGGGAGAGAAGGAAAGGAGGAGAGCACGGTCGGACGATCGGGAAGGGAGGGCGGGGAGGGGAGGAAGGGAAGGCGGGGAGGGGAGGAGGGGAGCGAGGAGCAGAGGCGTAAAAAGGCTGCTCCACCCCGGGCAGAGGCTCCGGGACCCCAGGAGCCCCAGCGGCCCGGAGGAGGAGGAGGAGGAGGAGGAGGAGGAGGAGGAGGAGGAGGAGGAGGAGGAGGAATGGAGGAGGAGGAGGAGGAATGGAGGAGGAGGAGGAGGAGGAGGAGGAGGAGGAGGAGGAGGAGGAGGACTGCGCTCCCCGGAGCCAAGGGAGGGGGGCGGGCGGACCCGGGCGCGATCCCAAAGACAAGGCGGCCCAGAATCAGCTCCGGAAGCAGCCCCGAGAGCTTGAGGATCTCGGCGCGCGCAGGCCCCATCAAGCTGCGCCGCCCAACCAAAGCCGCCAGCCCCCTTGCGGGGCCACCAGGCTGCAGGGCGAAGTTGCTGTTCCCTGCGCCAGTTGCAGTTTCAAGCATGCGACGTTACAGTCCGGCTTTCTGCTTCCTACTGAAAAACTGTTTACTGTTTACATCCGCGCATGGGGGGGGCCGAAGGACCCTGTTAGTTACTACGCCCTGGTCGCGTTGTCTGAATTCTCGGGGGGGCGTGGAACACGTACAAAGATGAGATATTCGCGCCCACGAAGCCATAAGCTGCAGTAAATTACGCAGTGTTCGCGTTCCAGAGGTCGCACACCCTCGTACGTTATACATGTGTTGCGTTCCCGAGGGAGAACACCCTCGTAGACTACGCCATATTCGCGTCCCCGAAGCCATACGCCTTCGCAAAGAGGCCCTGAGAGCGCTCTAAGAGGCCTCCCAAGAGAGCCCCAAGAGACCAAAATCGTCCACCCGGAAGGGCGCGCAGAGATGCCCAAAGGTGGCAGCAAAGGGCTGTTCGCATCCAGACGGCTCCAACATGGCCCAAGCTGGCCTCCAAGATGCCTTCCAGATGGCCAAGATTGCCTCCAAGACGGCCTGAGAGGGTCCAAGATACTTCCAGACACGCCCAAGAAGCCTCTAAGACGGCCCAAGACTGCCTAAGAGGTGTCCAAGAGGCCTCCCAGACGGCCCAAGAGGCCTCCGAGAGGTCCCCCAGGAGAGCACGAAGATGCTAAAATCATTGATTTGCCTTTGGCTGTTGGGCGATGTTCGTATTTGCGTTTTTTCTGCCTTCCGACGACCCAAGACGGCCCAAGAGGACCCCAAGATTGGCCCCAGAGCGCCCAAGAGGCCTCCAAGATGGCCTCAGGACTGCCCAGGAGGCCCCCAATGACGGCCCCAAGAGAGCCCGAAGACGGCCCAAGAGGCATCTAAGACGCCCAAGGAAGCATCCAAAGCGGCCCTGGAGCACCCCCAAAGAAGGCCCTAAGTCGGCCCAGAGAGGCCCCCAAGGCGGCTCCCGACGACGTCAGACGGGCCAGAAGCCCACCAAGACGGCCCAAGATGGCTCTAAGATGCCCTAAGAGACCTCCACGAGAGCTCCCAGGAAGGCCCGAAGAGGCCAACATCATGGAGTGTCCTTGGGTTGTTGAAGGGTTTGGGCATTTGCGTTTTTGTCGGCCGTCCGACGGCCCGAGACGACCCAAGAGCCCCCAAAGATCGCCCAAGAGGCCTTCAAGATGGCCACAGAACGGCCCAAGACGGCCCCCAAGAGGGCCCAACGACGGCCCAAGAGGCCTCCAAGACGCCAAACACAGTTTCCAAGACGGCCCTAGAGCATTCCAAGAAGGCCCCAAGTCGGCCCAGAGAGGCCCCCAAGACGGCTTCCGACGGCGTCGGACGGGCCAGGAGCCCACCAGGACGGCCGAAGATGGCTCTAGGATGGCCGAAGACGGCCCAAGAGGCAAGAGAGCCCCCAGGAAAGCCCGAAGAGGCCAAACTCGTTGATTCTCCTCAGGTGTTTGAAGGATGTTGGCATGTGCTTCTTTTCGGCCTTCTGACGGCCCGAGACGGCCCAAGAGCCCCCAAAGATCGCCCCAAGATCGCCCAAGAGGCCCCCAGGATGGCCCCAGAGCAGCCCAAGAGGCCCCCAAGACGGGCCCAAGAGGGCCCCAAGACGGCCCAAGAGGCCTCCAAGACGCCCAAGATAGCCTCCAAGACGGCCCTGGAGCGCCCCAAGAGGACCCCAAATCGGCCCAGAGTGGTCCCCAAGACGGTTGCCGACGGCGTCAGACGGGCCAGGAGCCCACCAAGATGGCCAAAGAGGCCCCGAAAAGCCTCCGAAGGCCCCCAAGAGGCCTCCAAGAGGGTCCCGAAGATGCCTCCAAGAGGCTCCCAGGAAGCTCCCAGGAGGCTCCAAGAGTGTCCCCAGAGGCTCCCAAGATACCCCTCCTCCTCCTCCTCCTCCTCCTCCTTCTCCTCCACCTCCTCCTCCTCCTCCTCCGCCTCCTCCTCCTCCTGATACTCCCCGCCATCCTTCCCCACGTGTTCCCCGAACGGTTTCCACAACGGCTGGGGGAACATATGGTCCGATAGCTTGGAAGAGCTCTTGTCACAAGGCTCGGCCACATGGACGATTCTAGAAGGCAGGGGGCGGCGCTGATTCGCCGTAACCGTCTTCGATCCGCCGCCCCCTGCTGATTCATCATAGTGGTGCCCGGCGCGTTAGACCCTTTCGCTTTTGGTTTTGGTTCGTTTCCAAAAGAACTCCCGCTGGGCTTTCGGCCCGTCCCGCCGGAGATGCGTGTGGTTGCAGAGGGTAATTCGGCTCCAGATGGCTCCAAGATGGCCTCCAAGATGGCCAAGATGGCCTCCAAGTTCGCCCAAGATGGTCCAAGATGGCCTCGAAGACGTCCCAAGAGAGTCCAAGATACCTTCAAGTTCGCACAAGAAACACCTCAGACGGCTCAAGACGGCCCCAGAGGCCTCCAAGAGGCCTCCAAGACGGGCCAAAAGGCCTCGAAGAGTTCCTCCAGGACGTCCCGAAGAGGTCAAATCAATTGTTTTGCCTTTGGTTTTTGACGGATTTGGGCTTGTGCTCAAAGGGCTCACTACGGCCCAAAGAGCCCGAAAGATCGCCCCCAGAGCGCCCAAGAGGCCTCCAAGATGGCCCTATGACGGCCCAAGAGGCCCCCAAGACGGCCCCAAGAGGGCGCCAAGACGGCTCCAGAGGCCTCGAAGACGCCCAAGACGGTCTCCAAGACGGTCAACATGGCCTCCAAGATGCTTCCAACACGGTCATGATGAGCTTCAAGACGGCCAATATGGCCGCTAAGACGGCCAAGATGGCCCAAAATGGGCCCGAGGGGTTCCAAGATTGCCCCAGAGGAGTCCAAGAGGTGCTCCAGGAAGGCCCGAGGGAGCGAAAATCTTAAATGTTCCTTAGGTGCTTGAAGGATTGTTGTTTTTCCTCGGTTGTGGTGTTTCGACCGCCTAAGACGGCCCGAGGAGTCCCCAAACTAGTCCCAGAGGCCTCGGAGATGGCTCCAGAACGGCCCAAGAGGCCTTCAAGCCAGCCCCAAGAGGGCCCCAAGACGGCCCAAGAGGTTTCAAAAACGGCCAAGATGGTCTCCAAGATACCTCAAGACTGCCAAGATGACCTCCAAGACGACCAAGATGGCGTCCAAGACGGCAGAAATCCCCAAGAGAGCCGAAGGAGGTCCAAGAGGCGCCCAAGATGCCTCCAAGACAGCCCAAGTTGCCTCCAAAACGTCCCCCAGGAAGGCCCGAAGGAGCCAAAAGTCATGATTTCCCTTAGGTGAAGGATTGTCGCATGTGTTTGCTTCTGCCTTCCGACGATCCAAGACGGCCTAAGAGAACCCCAAGATCGCCCCCAGAGCGCCCAAGAGGCCTCCAAGATGGCCTCAGGACTGCCCAGGAGGCCCCACGGACGGCCCCAAGAGGGCCCGAAGACGGCCCAAGAGGCCTCTAAGGCGTCCAAGGAAGCCTCCAAGACGGCCCTGGAGCATCCCAATGAGGGCCCCACGTCGGCCCAGAGAGGCCCCCAAGACGGCTTCCGACTACGTCAGGCGGCCCAGGAGCCCACCAAAACTACCTAAGATGGCTCTAAGATGGCCCAAGACGGCCCAAAAGGCCTCCAAGAGGGCCTCCAGGAAGGCCCGAGAAGACCCAAATCACTGATGTTTCTTAGGTGTTAAAAAAACTGCATGTGCGGCTGTCCGGCCTTCCGACGGCCCGAAACGGTCCAAGAGCCCGCAAAGATCGCCCAAAGATCGCCCAAGAGGCCTCCAGGATGGCCCCAAAACAACCCAAAAGCCCCCAAGACAGCCCCAAGAGGCCAAACACGGCCCAAGAGGCCTCCAAGACGCCCAAGCTGGCCTCCAAAGCGGCCCTGGAGCACCCCAATGAGGGCCCCACGTCGGCCCAGAGAGGTCTCCAAGACGGCTTCCGACGGCGTCAGACGGTCCACGAGCCCACCAAGACGGCCGAAGCTGGCTCTAAGGTGGCCCAAGACGGCCCAAGAGGCATCCAAGAGGGCCTCCAGGAAGGCCCGAGAGCTCACTAGCTCCTCGGAACCCCCGTCCCCGACACACACACACACACACACACACACACTCACACACACACACACCGCCACGGCCAGTACCTGACCAGACAAAAACGGGAAGCGCCACTTTGTGTCCGCTGTGCTCGTAGGGAAGCTGTCATCCCCATACAAGCGGTGCACCCCAGCGGCGCTTCCCATCATCTCCCCCGAGCCGCGACCCGGCCGGAGCCCGTCCCCCGGCAGCACCTCCTCAGGACCACCTCGAGCCCAGAGAGAGAGAGACGACCGACCCCAGGACCCCTCCAGGGCGACTGGAAAGCTGCCGGGGGGCGCGGAAGGCTGCGCGGCCGGGGCCTCCTCCGTTCGCCGTCCTGGACCAGCACCATCGCGAACGCGAGGGCCTGGAGCGGCCAGCAGCCCAGGCCAGTCATGCAGGCAGACAAACACGCAGACATGCATACGCACACGCGCGCATGCACACTTAAGACGATCTATCCGCAACCGTGCCTCTGGGCACGGAAAAAGGCGCGTCCTCAGTCCTTTGCCGAATCCCTGCGGCCTCAGTCCTCAGTCCTGAAACATTAAAGGGCCCGGGCCCAGACCCAACATTCCGAAATCTGCCGGGGTTCCCGACGTGCCCCCTGGGGCCCCCCGCGGCTTGTCGCACGACGTCTTGGGGCCCAAGAGGGCCCCAAGACGGGCCAAGAGGGCCCCAGAAGGCCCCCGAAGGGTCGCGGGGCAGAACAATTTTGGTTCTTGGTCAGAAAATTCGGGAGCGGCCAAGAGGGGGGTGTCCAAGAAGGGGGGGTGCAAATCATGGCCGGCGGCATGTGCGCGGCCCAGCGGGGGGGCCTGGGACGCAATGAAATAAGAAGAGGCGCCATGAAATCTGGGAAAATATCATGGCCCCCGCCATGATATCCACCACCCCCTAGTCATCACCCCCCTCTTTGCCGCCCCCGAAAAATTGTTGGATACGGGTCAATGCTCTAGGTTTCCGGTGGAAGAGTTCTCTCCGGCCCCCCAGGCGCGATATCCGTGCGACGGGTGCGCCAACGATTGGCCTCTGGACGCAGGCTCACCCTGGCCACCCGGGAGCCAACTCAGCCAGCCAACCCACCAGCCAACCGGCCCTTCCCGGTGCAACTGTTGGAGGATCTCCCACGCCGCTGGGTCCATATTGCGTGCTTTGAACTAGACTGACCGCGGGGTGGGGAAAGGGAGGAAAATGAGGGAACGGAACGGAATGGACTGGAACGGAATGGACGGAATGGAATGGAAGGGAGGAGTGGATGGCATGGAACGGAACGGAATGGAAAGGAATGGCAGGGAAGGGAGGGGAGGACGGACGGCATGGAAGGGTAGGAGCGACTGGAAAGGGAGGAACGTCAGGGAACGGAGTGGAATGGAACGGAGAGGACGGAATGGAATGGAAGGATTGCAAAAAACGAAGGATTGCAAAAAAAACAGAAGGATTGCAAAAAAACCGAAGGATTGCAATCCTTCGACGAAGGGCTTTCTTTTTGCAATCCTTCGTTCGAGTGGATGGCGTGGAACTGCGCGGAGTGGAATGGAATGGATGGGAGGCGCGCGCGGAGCGGCGAGGGGGGGGAACGGAGGGCGGGCGGCGGCACGGGCACGGGTGGAAGCCGAGCAGTGCAAGAGCAATGCAAAAGCAATGCAAAGCAATGCAAAGCAATGCAAAGCAGTGCAAAGCAATGCAGTGCGATGCAAAGCAACGCAAGGCACAGCAATGCGAAGCAACGTAAACAAATGCAAAGCAAGGCAATGCAAAACAAAGCTATGCAATGCAAAGTAATGCACTGCAAAGCAATGCAAATCAATGCATAGCAAAGCCATGCTAAGCAAAGCAAAGCAAAGCAACACAAAGCAAAGCAAAGCAGGGAAACTCACAGCAAGGAAGAACAACGACAAGCAATTCACAGCAAAGCAGAGCAATGCAAAGCAATTCACAGCAAAGCAGAGCAATGCAATGCAAAGCAAAGCAATGCTAAGCAATGAAATACAAAGCAATGCCAAGCAAAGCAATGCAAAGCAATGCAAAAGCAAAGCAATGCAATGCAACGCAATTCAAAGTAAAGCACTGCAATGCAAAGCAAGACAGGGCAATGCAAAGCAACGAAAAGCAAAGCAGAACAATGCAATGCACTGCAAAGCAAAGCAATGGAAACCGGTGGAAAGCAGTGCAAAGCAATGCAAGGCTAAGTACAGAAATGCAGAGCGGAGCACTGCAAAGCAACGCAATGCAAAGCAAAGCAATGCAAAGCAACGTAAAGAAATGTAACGCGAAGCCATGCGAAGAAACGCCATGCAAAGCATAGCAAAGCAAAGCAATGTAAAGAAAAGCAATGCAGAGCAAAGCAAAGCGGCTCGGGCACGGGGAAGCAATGCGAAACAATGCAAAGCAAAGCAGAGCAAAGCAATGCACAGCAGAGCAATTCAATGCAAAGCAATGCAAAGCAAAGCCATGCAAAGCAGGGCAACGCAATGCAAAGCAATGCAAAGCAATACACAGCAAAGCAATGCAATGCAAAGCAATAAAAAGCCATGCAAAGCAAAGCCATGCAAATCAATGCAAAGCAAGGCAAAGCTAAGCAATGCACAGCAATGCAAAGTAATGCAATTAAACGCAAGTCAAAGCAATGCAAAGCAAATCAAACCGAAACGCAAAGCAACGCAATGAAAAACAAAGCTATGCAATGCAAAGCAATGCCATGCAAAGCAATGCAGATCAATGCATAGCAAAGCAATGCAAAGCAAAGAAAAACAACGAAAACTGACAAAGCAATGTAACGCAAAGCAATGCACAGCAATGCAAAGCAATGCAAAGCAATGCAACGCAATGCAAAGAAAAGCCATGCAAAGCAATGCAAAGCAATGACATGCAACGCAAGGCAAAGCAATGCACGGCAAAGGAAAGCATTGTCAAGAAATGCTAAGGAATGCTATGCAATGCAAAGCAATGCTATGCAATGCAAAGCAATGCAATGCAAGGCAATGCAAATCAATGCATAGCAAAGGAATGCAAAGTACAGAAAAAGCAGCGCAAAGCAATGCAAAGCATTGCAAAGCAATGCAACGCAATGCAAGGCATGCAAAGCAACTCACAGCAAAGCAGAGCAATACGAAGCAACGAAAAGCAAAACACTGCAATGCGAAGCAATGCAAAGCAATGTAATGGAAAAGAAAGCAAAGCAATGCAAAGCGAGGCGATGCAAAGCAAGGCAGGGCAATGCAACGCAATGCAAAGGAACACAAAACAATGCAAAGCAAAGCACAGCAAAGCAAAGCGAAGCAATGCAAAACAAAGTAAAGCCCTGCAAAGCAATGCAAAGCAAATCTATGAAATGCAGGGCAACGCAAAGTAAAGCAATGCAAAGCAATGCAAAGCAAAGCAATGCAAAGCAATGCGGCACGGACATGGGCAGAAGCAAAGCAAAGCAATGCAAATCAAAAAAATATAAAGCAAAGCAATGCACAGCAAAGCATTGCGAAGCAATGCAAAGCAATGCAAAGCAAAGCCATGCCAAGCAAGGCAAATCAATGCGGTGCAATGCAGAGCAAAGCAGGGCAAAGCAATGAAAGCAAATCAAAGCAATGTAAAGAAATGCAAAACGAAGCAATGCAAAGCAAAACTATGAAATGCAAAGCAACGCAGCGCGAAGTAATGCAAATCAATGCGTAGCAAAGCAATGCAATGCAAAGCAATGCAAAGCAATGCAAAGCAATGTAATGCAAAGCAATGCAAAGCAATGCAGAGCAATCCAAAGCAACGCAAAGCAATGCGATTTAAGCAATGCAGAGCAACACAAAGCAATGTAATGCGCAGCAATGCAAATCAACGCAAAGCAAAATAAAGCACAGCAACGCAATACAAAGCAAAGCAATGCAACGCAAAGCACTGCAATGCAAAGCAAGGCAGGGCAATGCAAGCAACGCAACGCAAAGCAAAGCAATGGAATGCAATGCAAAGCAATGGAAACCAGTGCAAAGCAGTGCAAAGCAACGGAAACCGGTGCAAAGCAGTGCAAAGCAATGCAAAGCAAAGTAAAGAAATGCAGAGCGAAGCAAAGCAAAGCACAGCAGTGCGGCACGGGCACGGGCGGCAGGGGCGGCACGGGCGGCACGAGGCGGCACGGGGCGGCACGGGGACGGCACGGGGCGGCACGGGGCGGCACGGGGGCGGTACGGGGGCGGCACAGGGCGGCATGAGGGCGGCACGGGGCGGCACGGGGGCGGCACGGGGCGGCACGGGGGCGAACAGCCTGCAGGCGTGGCCGGGTGGTTAGACCACGTAAGAACCCGTAAGCTTCCGCTGTTCGGGGAACAAAGCCCAGGCAGGGAAAATTGCTCTTCCTCCGCGGTGTTGCAGCAACGGCCGGTGCGCGAGCCACGAGGACGCCCCGCCCACGCACGCACACATAATTACACACACGTGGGTTCGCAAACACGCAGGAACGCACTCACGCAAAAACACACGCGCAAACCCCACCACCGCCTCGCACCACGCCCACGGAGGGGGGGGGCCATCGGTGATCGGGAGGGCGACGCATTTGCAAGGGGGGACCGTACCCTGGATCACACATCGACAATGCGGCTGCAGTGCGGCCGTCGAGCTGATCGTAGCTGCGACGGAGCCGGGAGGCAGCCAAGAGGAGTTCACGATACGCCTGTGAAGCAGGCATGCGAACACCACGGGGCGGACACGAAGCAACTGTAAGGCATCCACGGGCCACGGGATGGCCATGGAGCATGAAAACAAATGGCCACGAAGCGAGCAAGCTGCGAGGCGGGGGAATAAAGAGGCAACCACTATAAAGCTTCGACACGAGGAGTAGCTGTGCAAACATGAGGGCCAGATTTTGTTGCAAGGGGCCCCAGTTGAAGTAGACAAGCACGAAGGAAGAAGCCCCCTTACCCACCCTGCCTTCGTACGCTTGGCACCCTCAGGGGGCTCAGGCAGCCCAGGCCAGTCCACAGCGGCGGGGCACCACATCATGACCTGGGCGAGGGAAGATGACTACGGGAAGATTGAAGTAATGGCACAAGGGGGAAGGGTGAGAATCTCTCGCTCCACACATTCGAAGCATCAGCGATTTTCTTTTCACGGAGCGGCACAATTTGGGACTCTCCCGAGACCCGAGAGGCTGGCGATCGTGCTCCCAGCGCAGAGCAGCCAAAGTCGCACCGAACTGTCCGCCGTGATTTGAGTCCCCCCACTTCTCCCCTCCCCTCCTCCCCTCTTACCCTCCCGCCCGTGCTTTTCCCTCTCCGCCATTCCTCCCACCTGCATCCTTCTCTTCCACTCCCTGCCTTCCTCCTCTCGCCCCTCCTTCCTTCCAACCTGGCCATCTCCCTCAGTGGGGCCGCACAAACTGCGAAGTGGCAAGCATCACTCCGCCCCGAAGAAAACCCCATACCGGCGCGGCGCGTATGCCCGCCTCGCTCTGAGAAGCCGCGCGGTCTCCAAGCACCCGCTCGAGCGACAGCCCCTCATCGGCGTAAAGCAGCAACGATGAGGACGACTACGGGGTCATACCAGAAAGCCAGTTCTCTGCAAAGTTGGGCACGCTTGCCTCCCAGTCTCCACACACACACACACACACACCTCTTACGCATGCATGTGCTCACACATGTGCACTATAAGCACTTGCGCTTAGGTTCTAGTCGAAGGCAAGCGTGATGACCTCTTTCTACTCATCATCGTCCTCGTTCCTGCCCATTACCTTCCTCCCACTCTCCCTCATCTACCTCTTCCCTCTCCTTCTCCCACTGCTGCTCCTCCTCCTCCTCCTCCTGCTTCTCTTCGTCGTCGGCCTCCTCTTCATTCCTCGTCCTCCTCCTCCTTCTTCATGCTCCTCCTCCTCCTGCTCCCCTCCCTTCTCCCTCCTCCCTCCCCCGTCCTTTGCTCCCCCATCCACGCCCCCCCCAAACCCCTCCTCACCCTCCTCACCCTTCTCTTCCTAATCCTCATTATCATACTCGCCGTCCTGATACTGCTCCTGCGCCTGCTCCTGCAGTTCCTCCGCCCTGTCCTCCCCACCCTCCTTGTCCCATTCCGTCACCCTTCCTCGAGGAGTACACCCGCGCCTTCTCTCGAATCTTATCTTCAGCACACGCCACAGCAACTTTACAATACAATGGGTGCACGTTGCCATGTCTCTTGGGATTATGGTCGGAGCCTCTTGGGGATCTGTTCGAAATCTCACGGGCTTTGGAGCATCATCGAAGAGAACGCCATCGGGTGTCTTGGGGCCGCCTGTGGGATCTCGGTATCCGTGGGGGAATCCCAAGACTGCCTTGGTCTCTGGGCAGTCTCGGAAAAGCTCTCTGAAGGGCTTCTGAGAACGCTCGGGAGCAGGGAGGGGAAGGATGGGGGGAGGCAGGGAGAGAGGAACGCGTGCAGCAAGCGCAAGCCGTGGGCGCTTTGATTCCGAGCCGCGGGTTCCCTTCCGCACAGCTGCATTCGTCCGGGCGGCCCCGAGCTCTGAGCACCACCCCGGTCCTGACGTGCGTCTGCGCCTTGGCGCCCCGGGCGTTGATCACCAGCTTGTCAAGGGGAAGGGGGGAAGGGACGGGGGTAACGGGAGAGGAGGGATGGGGGAGGGAGGAAGGAGTGAGAGGAGGAAGAAAGGAGGAAGAAGGACGCATGGGGGAGGATGGAGGAGGGAGAAGGAACGACGCAGGACAAAGCATGGAAGGATTCCTGCCAGCAGAGCTCCATCGGAGTCATCCTACCCCTCGTACGGGTGCACATCTGCAACACACCGACGGAAGGCTTATCAGATCGGGCACCCTTGGCGGGAAATCGCGCAGACAGCCAGAAGCCATCATATTGGCGATCCATAAGCACAGAACTCAACAGGCACAAAAGAACACAATGGAGCCACACTATCGCAGACAGTGCGCCCGACAACCGAGCTGCGATTAGACATCCTGCGCTTGGTAGCCGCAAGACTGCCACTCAAGTCGCCCAGCCCATTTTGAGCCCTCTGCACGAAGAGTGGATGGTGACGACGGTGTTAACCACGAAACCGAGCGGGCTTGTGCTGGAGTGCAGTCCCCCCCTTGGTGGCACCACATTCGTAGCAACCCATCCCGGCAGTCTGGAGTGGTGGCCACCCTGACTGAAGTCATCTCAGCACCTCACTCCCCCGCTCTCCGCGGCCGAGGCACGCGCCGTGGAGTCGGGGCCGCACTCGCGGCCTGCTTCGTCGAAAGACTGGAGGCCGTACCTCTGGGGGGACTGGTTGACCCTCCTTCTGCTCCTGCTCCTGCTCCTCCTGACCCTCCTCCTCACGATCCACCCCCTCCTCCTCCTCCTCCTCCTCCTCTCCTCCTCCTCCTCCTCCTCCTCCTCCTCCTCTTCCTCCTCTCCTCCTCCTCTCCTCCTCCTCCTCCTCCTCCTCCTCCTCCCTCGTCCTCCTCTCTCTCTCCTCCCTCCTCCTCGCCTCCCTCCTCTCCTTCTCCTCCTCCTCCCCTCCCCTCCTCCTCCTCCTCTCCTCCTCCTCCTCCTCCCCTCCTCCCTCCTCTCTCCTCCTCCTCCTCCCTCCTCCCTCCTCCTCCTCCTCCTCCTCCTCCTCCTTCTCCTCCTCTTCTTCTTACTAGTAGTATTATGATTATTCTGATTGCCCTTATTAGTATTAGTATTCGTCTTCTTCCCATTGCCATTCGCATTCGTATTCTTATTATTCGTCATAGTATGATTCGCATTCGTAATATAAATATTATTGTTGTTCGTCGTATTAGTATTATTAGTATGATTCTTATTACTATGATTATTAATAGTATTAGTATTAGTCTGAATATGTTTATGATTATTACGTTTCCTCTTCTTCTGAATCTTTGTTTGATACTCGTATTACCTGTATTATTATTGTTAGTAGTATTAGTAGTCTTATGGTTTTCCTCCTCGTCCTCCTCGTCCTCCTCCTCCTTTTCCTCCGCCTCCTCCTCCTCCTCCACCCTCTCCTCCTCCTCCTCCTCCCCCTCCTCCTCCTCCGCCTGCTCCTCCACCTCCGTCTCCTCATCCTCCTCCTCCTCCTCCACCCCCTCCTCGTCGTCATCATCATCAGCATCATCATCATCATCATCATCATCATCATCATCATCATCATCATCATCATCATCACCATCATCATCATCATCATCATCATCATCATCATCATCATCATCATCATAATCATCATCATCATCAGCATCATCATCATGAACACCATCATCATCATCATCATCAACATCACCATCATCACCATCATCATCACCAGCATCATCAGCATCATCGTCATCATCAGCAGCACCAGCATCAGCATCAGCAGTATCATCATCCTCACCATCATGAACACCATCATCATCATCATCATCATCAGCATCAGCAGCAGCATCATCATCATAATCATTGTAAGCATCACCACCGCCAACACCACCACCACCATCATCATCATCATCATCATCACCACCAACACCACCACCATCATCATCCGATCATCATCAGTATCGTGATCAGCATCGTCATCATGATCATCATCAGCATAACCAGCATCAGCATCATCATCAGCATTAGCATCATCATCAACATCAGCATCAGCATCATCATCATCGGCTCCGTTGACGTCGCCATCAATAATATCATCAGCAACATCATCAGCAGCACGTTCCATCATCATCATCATCATCATCATCATCAGCATCATCATCACCAGCATCACCATCAGCAACAGCATCAGCATCACCAGTACCAGTATCAGCAGCATCAGCATCATTCTCATGATGGCCATCGTCAGAATCAGCATCAACATCATCATCATCACCATCAGCAGCATCATCATCGTCATCATTAGCAGCATCAGCACCGGCATCATCATCATCATAATCATCAATCAGCATCGGCATCATCATCGTCACCATCGCTGCCATCATCATCAACAGCAACATCAACAGTGTCATCATGATCGTCAGAATCATCAAACTTCCAATCAGCATCGCAATCATCATTTCACCAGATTCATCATATCAGCATATCACCATCATCATCAGCATCAACATCGTCATCGACATCATAATCGTCCGCATAATCAGGATCATCAGCATCATCAGCAACATCAGCACCATCATCATCATCATCATCATCATCATCACCATCATCATCTCCATAATCAGTCGCATCATCATCTGATCATCATCAGCATCGTCATCCTCATCCTCATCCACAAGACCATCATCAAAACGCCGTCATCATCAACATCATCATCATCATCAGCATCAGCACGACCACGATGACCATCACAATCACAGTCACCCTCCCCACCATCACCATCCCATCGTCCGTCATCATCATAATCGTCGTCCCCATCCTCATCAACAGCAGCAACAACAACATCAACATGATAATCATGTTCAGCATCATCATCATCATCATCACGAAAATGATCAACACCATCATCCGCATCGTCATCATCATCATCATAATCATCAACATCATCACCGTAATCATCATGGCCATCGTCATCATCATCAGCACCATGATCATGATCGTCATCATCATCATCATCATCATCATCATCCTCATCATCATCATCCTCATCCTAATCATCATCAATATCCTCATCATCAGCATCATCACCATCACCATCATTACAAGCACCCTCATCACAATCAACAACAACTTCACCATCGTCATCAACATCGGCACCATCATCAGCATAATCATCACCATCATTGTCATCATAATCACCATCATCATGAACATCACCATCATCACCATCAACAAAATTGACAACACGAGCCTCAACCGCAACGTCGCCACGGTAGCCGAAGCGGCGCACACCACAACGGAGAGGCACGGCATGCAGGTGGACTGGAATGCCGGCAAGTCAGAGGCCTTCATCACGTGGAAGGGTAAGGGCGCCCGGGCCGCTAAGACAGAGACGATGATCGGCGAGCGCCCTGCCTTGGCCATACCTGGAGTCCCAGGCATCGAACATCCCGTGGTGAGAGAGTACAAGCACTGAGGATCCATGTAGTCTGGGGTCGCGCCCTCTGCCCTGAATAGACGTGCGCGCCTACGGAAAGCATCCGCAGTGTACTATAGCCTTGTGCGGAAGGTCTTCGCCATACAACACATGAGCGTGCGGTTCGGGCTGCGGCTGTTCCAGTCCCTCGTCTTTCACTGTTGTTCTATAACTCTGAGCTGTGGACGCCTTCGCGCACTCACGCACAGAGGATGCACATTTGTTATATGCGCGCCTTGGGCGAGATAGCCGATGAGACTCATGAGAGCCGTTTTCCGATCCCTGGGAAACCCCGCCTAACCGATCTGGCGCCTATGCAAAAATTGCAACTCCCCTTTTCTACAACATATGCTGGGCGGCACCGCCTGCTGTACATATCTGGTTTGATTTGCAAACCTTTCCATGCGCTGCAGGCCCTCCTCCTGCCTCACTCGGCCTCTCTTTCCCCGTGATCTACGAAATCTCGCCGACTTCCAAGCGATTTCCTGGGCTCGCGCCGCCACCAGCCCTGAGCGATTTAGATCCGCTTGGGGAGCCATGCCAAACAAAAGGAAAAACCGCATGGACATACTTCATAGCCACCGACTCGTGGAAGTGGAAGCGTCTCGCCCGCGACGCTACGATCGGCGTCTTTGTTGCCGACGACTCCATAAAACGTTTTACAGTTTTGTGCCTGGAGTGGGCCACACTTTTCAGTAGCAGCAATGCCGTGGCTACGCATAATATGAGGGTTCACGGCCATCGCAAAACGTGTGGCGCCCGTGATCCCAGCAACGGCTGCGACATGCCCTGCCTGTCCAAAGGCTACCGCACCCGGCAATGTTAAGACCATGCACATAGCTCGTTAATACCGAGATGAGACCGTCGCACTCTGATGTCATTCCAATGTGTGTGTTTTGCCGCACGACGTACGTATGCGGTTTTTCGTTTGGCTGTCATCAGCACCATCATGATCATCATCAGCCGCATCAACATCAACAGCACCATTCTCACCACCATTATGACCACCATCCATATCAGCCCTCTGTCCTCTCCTGTTCATTATTGATCATCCTCCCTCGTTCATTCCTCTGTTCCTCCTCCCCCTCCCGCCTCTTCCTCTTCCATGATCCTCCTCCCTCCTTGTCCCTCCTGATGCCTCTTACCCCATCCCCCTCCCCCCCCCGTACTCCTGAACATCTTCCCTTTTCCTCTATCCCCCTGTCAGTTCTCTCCTGCCCCCCCCATATCCCTCCACCCAGCACGGCAAACTGAGACCAACTGAGAGGAGAAATTACGCAACTGAGGAACCCCGCATACTTATAATAGATATGTTTATCGCGATGACAGCGGATGTGAAACATGCGAACAAATATGCTGGCCGTTGCCCCGACGCCTGTCAAGCCTTGGGAGTCTGACGCGCTGCGCAAACAGAATCGAAGACACCGCCAAAAAGAAACTGCGCGTTTTGCCATCGCACAAGAAACGGACATCGACCGCCCTCTCCGTTGCGAACGAGAATGAGTCCGCGCGGGCGAAGCCCATGACTCTGAAGTCCGCCCAGGCAGCGAGGGCCTGTGCGATGCGATCGATCCTGACGGGGTCGGGGCGCGGGTCCTCCTGGTCAGCTGCATCGAGGAACTTCGACACCTCCCGCCGCTCTGCCATGGCTTCCTGTCGCGCGCGGCGCGCCGCAGTTTCCGCGTCGCGCAAACAGTCGGTGCCACGGCGGTCCGCGGCGGCTCGAAAAGTCCAACGCCAGGGGGCGACGTCAGTGACCTCCCCGTAAAACTTGGCGCGGGCTCCACCGAGCACGTCAGGCTGCGAGGCGAACGAAGGGTGGGAACATCCATCCTGTAAGGTGCGTCATTGGTAGAATACCTGTTGAGCGCTCTCCGCAAATCGGCATCGCTGCCTCTTCTCGACGGCCTGTGCTCTGGACGAGCTGCTCGCATGGCTGCAAATTTTCTGCGCCATTTGACCGCCTTCGCATCCACGCGCGGGGGCAAGCTCTCCGGGGGGATCGACTGTCTCGGTCCCCGCGACCATGGCCCACGCGACTAGCGGCAGACCACGCCCGTCGGCCCCGGGGACAGCTCAATGCGAGGGGCGCCAGTGGCGCGAACAGACGTGGCAAGCATAATTGCTGGAGACCGCTGAGGCGCGAAGGCCTGCACGGGCATGGACTTCACGGGCGCGGCCCGCATGGGCGCGGCCCCCGCGGGCGCGGCAAACGCAACGCATGG